CTCAAAACAGCTCCACTTCACATCAGTTTAAAAGCCTCCTATTTATTTCTCAAGTTTATCCATGGCACCCTCAGATCCTCATCCAAATTTCAGACTCCCCCTCATCATGTCGTTTATGACGTTTGATGTTTGATGTGCTTGTGTGGGCACGGCACACCGAGGAATAAAATTCATCATCATGATTGCTCCAATTTCACTGTCAGGCACAGAGGAGCACATCGATTGCAAATTCATACTTCTGCCCCCGCCCCCCCCACCTCCCCCTTCGTTTTCCGGAAATGACTTGTCATTTGTCATTTTTGAGTCACTCTCCTCGCAAACTATTTGGTGGAGGGAACACAAGAAGCAGGAGGCAGGGCTGCTGTGCTTCCCGGTCCAGGTGGGCCGCACTCTGCGGTCGGCGACAGGTGACATCGGCACGAGTCAGCGGCGCCTCAAACATTGGCAGCGCGTTGGCGTTCTGCAGGTCGGCCCCGTGCGCTTCCCGTGTGTTATTTTCAGCGTGCCGGGCAGGAAATGTCTGAGCGTCACACAAAAAAATGCCGCGCGGCTCTCCAGGAGTGGGAAAATGAATGCGCAGAAACCACCAGCCTCCTCCTCCTCCTCCTCCTCCTCCTCAGGCTGGCCTTCCTCGCTCTGTGTTTAGCCTTCTCGTAACCTCAACACTCTACCCCCCCCCACCACCCCCTCTTTGACTTGAAGAGAAAATGTGAGCTTTTCACTTTGTTTGCACGTTGCTAAATATTTAATGCAGAGCAGAGGAGCAACACTTGGGGCTTTGCTGCATATTTAAAATCATGCATGAGGTAAAAAAAAAAAAGAAAAAGTTTTTGGTTTGTTTGTTTAGTTAATTTGGTGAAAAACCCAGTTGATCTTTTTGGGCTGGAATTCCAAACGAAACGTTGGGCGCAAACACCACACTGCTCATCACCATAAGAACAACAATACCGACGCCGATGCCTGGTGGCGGCAGCATCATGCTTGGGTGGGCTGACACCATAGACAAGGCGGAAATAATCAGCACCCATTGGAAAGTCACTTTGTGCGTGCGTGTGTGTGTGTGTGTGTCTCGCAGTGACTGGCCGAGGAAGGACGTCCCCTCGGAGGAGGAGGAGGAGGACGAGGATGAAGAGGTCCGCAGTTGGGACGAGGAGGACAACAGCTCGTCATCCAGCAAGGAGCACGTGGGCGAGGCGGACAGACGGGTGAGCGCGGCGTCTCCGCTCGGGTCGGCACACCAGGGGACCTTCTGGGGGGAAAAAAAAGCGCATCTTTTCATCGACACGCCAGAATTTTCTGGGAACCGCCTGTTAGTCCGCATACAGTACACACACCACTTTGAGTTCTAGTTGTTGAATTTTATTTTTTTAACCAGATTTAAGAAATGATTGGTTTGTTGATTATTTTAAGTTACAAAATGATCAAGTACATCATTTTACAAAGGCACAATGTTGTTTTTTTGTTGTTGTTATTGATGACATAAGTGGCAAAATGATGGTCGATAAATAAAAACAATGCAGTGAGCTTATTTTTATATAATCCTGTCCCCAAGCCAAACAAGCACTTGTGATGCCTCCCATTGCCACTGCTGCCGCATGGAGAGAAAATGCGCACCAGTAGTTGGGAACAACTTGAAAGGGATGTCACTCGGAACAAAAATGGCGTCTGCTCTCTCTCTCTCTCTCTCTCTCTCTTTCTTTTGCAGCTGGAGGATGAGACCAAGCGCAAGAAGGTGGCGCACATCGCACAGGAGATCATGAGCTCGGAGAAAGTGTGAGTGGCGCCCTGGCAGAACAGAAATCATCAAGTATCGGTTAAAAACAGAAAAAAACAAGTCATGTGAAAAGCACCCTGACAAGTGCAGCTTACCCAAAAGGTTCACTAGGTCATAGTGAGTGGGAGTGTGCTCCTTTTCATTGGTGATTTTCAGGGGGGCTGACACCCCTTTCTTGTGGCCCGTCTTTCAGGTTCGTGGATGTGCTCAAGCTTCTTCACATCGTAAGTGTCACCTGACCCGGGCTCAAGCGCCATCCTGTGGCCGGGAAGCCATTTCTGTCCCAGAAATCGGGTCAACCCGCATTCTTTTCTGCCCGCGGATGCAGCGGCCGCTTCCTCCTGCCACTGAGCTGACCTCCACACACATGCGCACACACACACACACACACACACACACACAGGAGAATTCTATCGGTGTGCGCTGCGCACATTCTTGTGGCGAACCGGCCAGCTGACATGGCACTTGAATGTTTTTGAAGTTTCTGGCCAACGTGTGTGTGTGTGTGTGTGTGTGTGTGTGTGTGTGTGTGTGTGTGTGTGTGTGTGTGTGTGTGTGTGTGTGTGTGTGTGTGTGCGTGCATACGTATGGGGCTTCCCAAAGTCAAATCATATTACGTAATGAGATCATCACACAGTGGACAATGAGAAGCGACTTTTCATTCGCTACCTGGGTCGACTTCATCCCCAGCTCTTACGACCACCACGATCGCAGAAAAATACTCGACCGCATGAAGATCATCGACATCGGATAATAACGTGAAGGCAATTTCAAATTCATTGCCCTGACCGAGACCTGCTTTTTCTGCCTCAGGACTTTCGGGATGCCGTGGCCAAGGCGACGCGTCAGAACGGCAAGCCGGTGGTGGACGAGCGCGTCCTCAGCCAGGTCCTCTACTACCTGCCTCAGCTCTACCAGCTCAACAAGGACCTGCTGAGGGAGCTGGAGGAGAGGGTGGCGCACTGGTACGTGCCGGCTCCCGCGAGAATTTCCCGCTCGACAGCGTACGACGGCGGCTTCGTGCCTCCCGCAGGAGCGAGCACCAGCGCCTGGCCGACATCTTCGTGCAGAAGGGCCCCTACCTGAAGATGTACTCCACCTACATCCGCCAGTTCGACGACAACGTGGCACTTTTGGATGAGCAGTGCAGGAAAAACCCGCCCTTTGCCGCCGTGCTGCGAGAGTTTGAGGTGACGAGGCTTTCGTTTCCCTCCGGCCGAGCCGTTCCCATCAGCGGGCTGACGGTGGCGCTTGTTGTTTGCTTGGCCGCAGATGAGCGCCAGATGTGCCAGCCTTGCCCTCAAGCACTACCTGCTGAAGCCCGTCCAGAGGATCCCTCAGTACCAGATGCTCCTCACAGGTGGCTTCTGCTTCTCAAGCACCGGCGGGGGCCGAGGCGGGACCGAACTTTCTCTTCTCTCATCCGCCCATGACAATATCCAAACTCCTCCCATAGCTACATTGAGTTCATCGTGGCCTTTTTTTTTTTTTCCTTTGATCTTGCACCGACTTCCTGCCGCCAAGTGGACAGCAACAAGAATGATGTCCCCTCTCTGCCCTTTTTTAGATTATTTGAAGAATCTGCCTCGGGACTCGGAGGACTACAAGGACACAGAAGGTGAGACGCAACGCGCCGCGAGGCGCCCTCCGCGAGGAAGGCGTCGCTAAAATTGTTTTCGTCCGTGCAGCGGCTCTCGGCGTCGTGAAGGAGGTCGCCAACCACGCCAACGACATCATGAAACAAGGGGTGAGCCGCTAGCCCCCCCCCCGACTCCCAGCTTCGTTGTAGTCTGCCTTCGCATCTCCATCATGCAGTCATTTCCTTCTTTCAGGATAACTTTGAGAAGCTGATGCAGATTCAGTACAGTCTGAACGGCCACCAAGAGATTGTTCAGCCAGGCAGGGTAAGGGCCCCGCTCGCTCCTCCGCCGTCCGCAAGCCTCCGAGGCCGCCAGAGTTGACTTCCGACGGGTGCCGGCAGGTCTTCCTGAAGGAGGGAACGCTCATGAAGCTCTCCAGGAAGGTCATGCAGCCGCGAATGTTCTTCTTGGTGAGCGACAGTGGCCTCTCTCCAACTTTTTCCTTCTCGACTTTTTGAACCTCTTTGCCCTTTTTGGTCCGTTGCAGTTCAACGACGCGCTCATGTACACCACTCCCGTCCAGTCGGCCCAGTACAAACTCAACTGCGTGCTCTCCCTCGCCGGCATGAAGGTGAGACGGCAAACGGCGCCGCGGCTCGTGCTCGTGACTGCTGACGCCGTGCGCCTGCCAACAGGTGAGCAAGCCCAGCCAGGAGGCCTACCAGAACGAGCTCAACATCGAGAGCGTGGAGCGCTCCTTCATCCTGTCCGCAAGGTGGGACATCGAGCGCAGTACTCGGGGCTGAGCTGCACCGTGAACAGCCGTAGCCAACTGCGGAGGTGTTTGCATTGATCGCATCCCACCGTTTTTCCGCCTCCAGTTCGGCGACGGAGCGAGACGAGTGGCTGGAGGCCATCGCCGCCGCCATCGACGACCACGCCAAGAAGAAGATCAGCTTCATATCCAGCCGCAGTCAGGAGGAGGTGGCGCTCTTGTTTCCCCGCGCCGACGTTTTCAAAGCTTTCCCCCTGATGACTCTCCGCTCACCCACGCAGGCCGACGGCGTGCCGGACAGCGGCGCCCCCCTCGGCTCCAAGGCTCCCATCTGGATCCCCGACCTGAGGGCCACCATGTGCATGATCTGCACCTGCGAGTTCACCCTCACCTGGCGCCGCCATCACTGCCGCGCCTGCGGGAAGGTGCCCGACGCGCCCGGCGGACCCAACGGCCTCGACGTCTCCTCCTCACGGTCTGCCATCTTGTATGCCGACAGGTGGTGTGCCAGGCCTGCTCGGCCAACAAGTACTACCTGGAGTACTTGAAGAACCAGCCGGCCCGCGTGTGCGACCATTGCTTCGTCAAACTCCAGGAGAACAGTCAGTACATGTGTCGAGGTGCCACAAAAACAAGAGTGGAGACTGTTTAGTTTTTGTTGTTCCCTCCCATGGCAAAACATGATAGCAACAAGTGCGCTGACCGGGATGCACGCTTTTTAGTTTTCTTGCCTTCCCTGTCCTTGAAAGAACACGCAATGCAATTCCTTTTCACATCCAGGCACGGAAAGCCCCAAATTCTCTTTGTCATGTCATGATTTCCAGGCGACCGCTGCGCCTCCTCGTCTGTGTCTCCCATCAAATCCGGAGCCTTCTCCTTCACCAGGAAACAAAAAAAGATTCCGGCCGCACTAAAAGAGGCAAGGAATGAACGAGCGAGCGAGAGGTGAGATAAGAAGCGGCGGCGCGGTGGCCTGACCCGCTCGGCTCTCCTCCCAGGTGTCGGCCAACACGGAAAACTCCTCCATGAGCGGCTACTTGAACAGGTCCAAGGGCAACAAGAAGCAGTGGAAGCGGCTGTGGTTCGTCATCAAGAACAAAGTGTTGTACACGTACGCCGCCAGCGAGGTGACCGCCGCCGGCCGTCTCTTCTTCGCTTCGCTCGCCTTCCGCTGGAGCGTGTCGCCTTTTTCCCGGCAGGATGTGGCGGCGCTGGAGAGCCAGCCGCTGCTCGGCTTCTTCCTGCGGGAGGAGAAGAACGGGCCGGCGCGGAAGCTGCAGTTCAAGCTGTACCATAAAAACACGCTCTTCCACATCTTCAAAGCCGACGACATCCCCACCGCGCAGAGGTAAAAGCGCGCCCCGGGGGTAAAAGCACGCCGCGTAACACGCTTTGACCTCGTCGCCTTCTCGGTTTAGGTGGATCGAAGCCTTCCAGGAGGCCATGATCCTCGAGCAGTGAGCATCCAGTCGACGACGACCGAAGAGATGGGAGGGGGAGCTTTTTTTTCTTCTTTTCCCTCCAACGTTGCAGCTGTGGCTCAAATGGCACACAGTGTGCATGGAAGTGGACCGTTTTGCACCAGGAAAGCCCTTGTAGGGGGAGGAAAAAAAAAAGAAAATTCAAGCAGGTCACAGTCCGTAGCAGGAGGTTGCTGCTGTCCGCTTTGGAGATGTCATTCTTCGGTGTTTATATTGCCAGTAAGTGCCATAGATTGACGCTCCAACAGCGTCCTGGACATAACTGGAAGGGGAATCTATTTTTCACACGCTTCAGAATGTCCACTCTGCGGACTTCGAAACAAACCGCGAGATTGTGGAAGTCATAGAGCGACGTTGACATTTTGAGTTGCAAGCCCAGAGCTGAAATCTATAATGGCCGAAGAAGCAGGTCACTGGTTCATCGTCGGGGTCTGTTGAGTTTCTTTTTTTGTTTTGTTTTCCTTTTTCCTTGTTTTTCCTCCCCTCAAACTTTTCTTCTCCACAACGTCCTGTGACGTGCAGTCATTGATTGATTTCTTCTTGTCTTCCTAATTTTAACTTTTTCGGGGTCGCATTTGCTTGTGTACATTCACGGTGACTCTTTATTTTTTTTTTTCAAGCTCAACTGCGTGGAGGGAGGTCGAGTCTCCTGCAAAACAATCGGAAGAAACTGTCAGGCAACAGTTTTGAAGAAAATGTCAAAATATAGTTTTTTTCTCTGTGTGTTTATTTTGATGGCACCGATGCATGATTGAAATTGAGTTGTCATATTTAAAAAAGAAATAAAGAATTTTTATGATGGCATTTTTGAAAAGATCACCAAATGTACACACGCCCTCCTCCCGGTTTATCTTAAATTTGATCCAGATTATGAGTGTAAACCTGAAACATGATCACTGTTGATGGTGTCCAAAACAAGGTTATATGTATTTGTCACGCGTACCTTCTTCAGGACATGAGGCCAGTGATCACGTCTACGCTGCAGCTCATCACGGCCATGAGGAAGGACGCGCAGGAGCAGACGGTCTGCCAAAATGTGATGGGGAGAGAAGACGACTGATCGATCTGTTGGAGGCACGGAATTTGAAACTGGACCTCATGCAAATATTGAAAAACAGGGAAAGCTGCAGACTTCTTTACAATGATTTAAAGGCGATTGGTTTGGTTGGGAGACTAGAAACATTTGAAGAGGGTTTGTGTGCGTGTTTTTGGGGTAATTGATGAGCGGCATACCCGTTTCACATTACTGACCAGTAGAGGGCGGTAACGCACCTGAACGTTTCTTGCCAAACGCCCTGGAACTCCGCAAGAAGAAGATGACGGTGTGCTCTTCGCCAACCAGGTCAATTGGACCACACCCCCAGTCGCTCCTTCCCGAATTTAGTCACGTTCCGAAGGACGGAGGAGTGCATCCTGCTGAGGCCCGAGTTGAAAGAGGTCCAAGTCAACTAGCCCGAGCGCTTCAAGCTATGGTTCACCATGGACAGGGCGCTCGCCGGGATGTTCATTTCTGGTAATTTCATGGACGCAAACTTCCGGATTTCGAAAGGAGCGTCCGACCTGGATAGGGCGGCCAGCAAACAGCAACAAACCAATCAGATTTCAGCGGGGCGGAACTAGCTCTTCCTTAACAAGCGTGGCACAAGCGTGGCGTCAAAACAATTTGAACCACTTGAACGTGTGACTAACCGCACGAAAGTTCGCAGTTAACGCGGCAGAAGTGCTTGATCGACAGGTCGACCGAAAGAAGACACAGGTCTCAAGATTTGTCGTCGTCGTAGCCGCCGCCGCCGCCTTGGTTCTCCGACATATTGGAAACTCGCCCAAGTTCCTGATGCTCAGACTGGGTAAGTACGCGCTATTTGTTTGCCCTCGAAGCATTTAAACGTTCTTAACAGTACACATGGGGACGTTGCGCTTCCAATGACAAGTGGAGTTCAAAGATACAGAAAAAATGGCTTTTGAAAGAAGAAGCTGTCCAAGCGGACGCGTTGCACCTCCTGCTCACGCGCATTCCGTAATCGGGGTTTCAACCCTGCGTTCGACTAGGTCACTTGGGAATGAAAAAAATCGCTCAGACAGATGCATTGCGAGTGAGGGCACGTTTGGAAATGGACGGGTTGAAAGGAAAAAAAGTCTGCCACTTTACGAATAATGACACAAAAAGAAACCACTTTTTTATAGTCGAAAGAGTGTGACTCTTCACTTGTATTTTTTCTGCCTGACCAGACTGAAGAGGCGACTGGGCCAAAGTCGCAGCCGCCGCCAGACTCTGAGGACATGCGGAAGGGACGTGTGAGTCCTGAGCTGCGTGGTGTGTTTGAAGAGGGAATGTCTGATGTCACGTTGCACCACAAGGTGGAGGTGAGTGCGCCCGCCCGCCTGTCTGTCTGTCTCTCACTCAACTTAAACTTCTGCTTCGTGTACTGCACAACAGTGACAACTCCACATAGAAAACCCGAGCATCATCAGGCACTTTTGGAATCTGTTTTTAAACCTTGAAGTGGACCAAGTTAGTTTAAAAATGTGTCTGTTTGCATGTATATATAATATATACATACATGACTAACTTAGCCCATTTCAATGTCATTTAAAAACTTGACTAGAAGAGTGTGATCATGTTGTTGTGGAGTAAACGGCAGTTAGTTTTTGTCTCAGTGAGAGAAGTAGGACGTGCTACTGTCCCCCTTGGTGTGTCATGAGATGTCAGTGACCTCACGCATGAGCTGGTCAAGCCCATGCTCCCATCTCGGGCCTGTCGTCAGTGTTTGTGTGCGTGCAACTTGAACGGGCCCACGCAAAGATTGACTGGTCAAATGCTTTCACATTGTCATGTTCGCTTTTCTGTCCAATAAATTGTTCAACTTGAATCTGAGTCTTTGTCTTTCGTGACCAAATCCATCCTCAACTCACTCGAAGCCTTTTCAAAGACTGGCGTCTTGAGCTCAGACTTGCCCTTCAGTCACATCAGACAGTCTTTTCACTGTTGCCGTTGGTCTCCACATGACTCGAAACTCCAGGAATCGAGCTTTTGGGTCATGTGAAACCCACGGGAACAGTGAAAAGACTGTCTGAGGTGACCCAAGTGCAAGTCTCAGCTCAAGACTCAAGTGGGACTTTGAAAAATTGCTGCAAAGTGCGCCCAAACCACACCCAATTCGACATCCACCAATCACGTCACGACCCTAATTTGCATAAATTTGCATAACCAATCAGAATCGATCAATTTGCATAACCACGCCCACTTTCCGAAATCCGACAAATCAGATTGCTCTGAATTTGCATAGCCACGCCCGCAAAAGAACCCACCAATCAGAGAGCATCTAATTTGCATAACCACTCCCCATTTTCCACCAATCACAGCATGTTATCATCATGCTCCACCCACTTCCACAGCTATCAGCGAATCAACAGCCATCATTCCAACCAGGCCACACCCACTTTCCTGGATTTTTCTGCCTGGAAAAAAAAAATTCAGGAAAAAAAAAATTTTGAAAAAAAATTTTTTGAAAAAAAAATTTTGAAAAAAATTTTTGAAAATTTTTTTTGAAATGTTTAGAAAAGAAACTAGTTTTTTTTTTTTTTAAGTTACATTGAAGATGTGTTAAAAAATGAAGTTGACAG